TAGTTGCTGGGTGGGGTTAAACCACGACAGCTGAAACCTGTTTGCCTTCATTTTAGAGAAGTTATGGATTTTAACATACCAACCAGACTCAAAACCCAAGGCTGCATAACTTACCAGATAAGAGAAGTAAGCTCATAAAGTTCTTGAGGACTTCGTGGAACAAGGTCAATTTGTTCTTGACAACTCCCATTTGAGGCTCCACAAAGGAGGAAGTGAAGCGTTTCTGCAATATCTATAAAAATTATTATTTATGAGATCGCCTGTATCAGAATATGGACTCCATTTTGTGTTAGACACTACGCAGAAGAGATAGTCACTGCCCTAAACAGTCAGTCAGTAGACAGTAAGACAAAAGCCATCTCTTCGAACACTGTAAGAAATGTGTTTGTTCTCAGGTCTGGGGTTTGTGGGGTTTTTTTCGTTTTGTTTTGGTTTTTTTTGTTTGTTTGTTTGTTTTCCTTTAGGAACATCTAAAGGGGAAATATCACTCAATATGCAGGGCACAGAAGAAAACAGGGGAACATACAGGGCAGTTGAAGTGACAAGTTAAAATTTACAAGATGAAAATAAGAAAACAACTGAGAACTAAGACAGCTACACAGCGATTACTTTTCTTCATGTTTTCCCTTAGAAAAAGCCCTTAAATCACATGTTTCCCCCACCTAGTAAAAACTACAAAAATAATTATTCAACTTATGTTGAAATGAGAGTAATTGTCCAGCTAATACAGACTGAAAATTAGGCAAGCACTCCAGTGACAACAGCTAGACACAGGAAAGGGGTGAAAAACCCCTCAGGAAAAAACTTTCAACACGATTATTTAAACTTTATATCCCAGGAGAAGCATAGTAAGAGAAAGAAAAATAAGAGAACACAATATTTGTATAATCAAGTGCACAGAGTTCCATATTGACTATAGGCATTAACTTAAATAGGTCCCCCAGAATATGAAAGAGCAAGAACTCACTTTGCTTCATAAGTTGGACTGCAAGTGTAGGACAATTGGAGCACATTAAGGAAAACATGCGCACCACCATGATGAACATTCCTGAGCTCAGGATAGGAGGCGTCACTACCAAGAGTTGCTGGATATTTGTTAACAAGTCCTTGGAAGCAACCTGCTGGAGCAAGTTCTTCAGGAGGAAACAGCAAAATTAAAAACGTTAGTCTGACTTTGAAAGGTAAGCCCTTAGGAGAAATGGAGGGAGGGAAGAAGGAAACAAAAATCCACACCCAAAAAATGACACCCTTACCTCCTCATGCTGGAAGTTGTCCACTAGCCGTGCAAAACAGAGACAAGTGCTTTCAACAGACTTTTTGTCCTATTGTAAAAAAAGTTAAGTATTTGTTTGAATTAAAATATTTTAACTTGCATTAGATTATCCTGTCATTTTGAGGCATTCATAACATTTCTCCAAAAAGGCCAGTCAAATCACATTTTACAGAATATTACAGCTCTGAATTTTAAATTCATTGACACAGTCTAAACTGACCTCCTGATATGGCATATTCCCTAGGAAACACCTCACACTTGCAACACAAATACCTTTAGGGACCTTTAGAGATGAATAAATGGGTCTGTAATATCCTTTTTGGATTCTACAAGGAGGAAACAAAAGGGAAGAGAGCTACAAAGCCAAAGCAACAGGAGATATAGATAATAAGCAGGAGTGAAGGCTACTGTTCTACAGACTACGTGAAGCCTGATTTTTGTACCATGCAGCGCAGCCAAGACAGCAAATCCAAAGACACCAAGATAGTAAAGATTGCTCTAAAAATAACTCTAGTTAAAAGTTAATTGAAACACTCAAAAAAGTTCATCTGAACATAATAAAACTTCTACTGTAAGAGTGGTTGAACACTGGAAGAGGTTGCCCGGAGAGACTAAGTCTTCATACTTGGAGTTTTTAAAAAAATCAGCTGGACATGGTCCTGGGCAATCTGCTCTAGTTGACCTTGCTTAAGAAGGGGGCTAGGACTGGATAATTGAGAGGTCCTTTCCAACCTCAACTATTCTGTTAAGAGCTAACTCAAGATTTTCTTTGCCAGAAAAATTCCACTTCAAAATTTCTTGAAATCTTACTTTTGTGGGCTGTAGCTTCTCTTCAGAGAGCAGGGGTCAGTACTTGTCCCTACTACTGCTGAGAGTGGTGCTTCCTGTTTCCAAAGCACCATCTAAAGCGGACATCTGACTTCTGTGAAGCTGCCTCAAAGATTCAAGCAGTCTCTCAGCAAGAAGATGTTGGCAAAATTAAGAATAGCACAAGAATACACAAAAACATTACCTGGAAGCTTCCATTTAGTTGTATTTGTTAAGGAACAAAATCATTTCTCCTTTTTCACTTTTTTAACAGAGATCTGCCAACCAAGCAGTATGTCCAAATCTCTTTCAGTGCAATAGTCATTGTGAGGGCTCATTTATGAACTCATTATGAGCACTGCAGGATAGGCAGATCTTAGGAGCCCCATGATTTAGGATTCATCATTTCAAACTATTGTGCAAGAGTAGGAATTTTCTTTTTTAAAAGCCGTAAGCCCTCCCAAAAAGTCAAATCAAAAAACCACAAAAATTGAAACTGAAGCTTTTCTGAGTCTGAAGTGGGAGGGAACCTTGCAAATCACTTGTTAAGAAAAAAAGAGCAGTAATGCTACTGGATATCCTCTTACTGATGGGCAACAAGTAAGGACTACAAACCCACTACTATTCATACTCTAAGTTAAAGTACCTTATTTATCCCATTTTACAAAATTAATAGGGGTGTCATGAATCCCTACAGCACATTTACAAAAAACAAAAGGTCCATATGCACGTTAGAATATTACAACTTGACAGTATAGAAACCTTAAAGCAATTACCATATTGCAAAGGCAAATAACACACAGTAAAGAACTAGATATATCTGGAGGCAACTTTATAGTACTTCCAGGTCAAAATTAAAACTTTCTGTTTTATAACAGCTTCTTACCTGATGGGTTAACCTTTGTGTAAGCAGTGGCAAAGAGTCCGCCACAAAGTGAAACTCATCAGGTGTTATACTCTGGCAGCAGTTGGCAGCAATAGCTAGTGCATTCCTCTGTGCATTTATACTGAAGAATTCCAGATACAGCAAACAGTCTGCCAACCCACCCTATAATAAAACAAACAAACATTTTCACTCTCAGTACTGCTAAAGTCACAGAAACTTGTTTTCTTATTTCATCTTTACAGAAGATCACCAAGACGTAGAACTGGTAGAGGTAAAAGTGCTTTCTTTTTACTTACTGCCTGCAGAATGGCTTTACTATGCCTGCGTGATAACATCTCCAGGGCTGTAAGCGCCTGCTCTGCCACATCAATGCACTGAATAACTTGCAGCTACAAGAAAACAAGAAACCTTGTAGATTAATTTCTAAACCAGTTTGTAAAAATAATAATTTTCATTACCACTTGGACAGTTAGCCTGTACTAAGTACATATACTAACGCAGCTGCACTGCTAACTGTAATCAAGCTAGATAATTTAAGGCTAGACCAGCTATATAGCTACTCCAAGAGTTACCAGTTTGTATAATTACGCAGTATCTTTGCAGCACCAATCAGACAAAAAGTTCTCAGTGAATCAGATAGTGCTTTTCAGTAAGGGTGTGAACAAAGAGTAAACCTGTTTTTAAAAGCTTCTCATGCATTACGTATTATCTTGTAAGCTATGAAAAGAAGCCATTATGTTAATGGTATATGCTAAAGTTAAAACAAAAGATAAAATCCCCTCAGATTAGTTTAACACTGGTTTGATTTCATTTTACCTTTTCCAAGAAGACAGGAATTGCATCTACCACTACAGCAGATGATCTGGGAAGTGCTTCCATCATATATGTTAAGGCCCGACATGCATGGTTCATCTGTTAAATACACGTATTTGCTTTTAAGTTCAAATGATACATTTTTCTATTTCAAAAAATTTCTTAAACATTACAAATCACTTACAATGTCAAAGTTGTGCTCCATCTGCAGCAGTGTTATCTGTTTTTTTTTTTAAAAAAAAAAGTATTGTTAGTTTAGTAAAAAGTATCTAGATATCAACATAAATAAAGAACAGAAATCAGTATTGTAGCTTTTGACTCAGGACTTCAAATTTTGGTAAAAGTTTCAAAAGAGCCACTACCTATTCTTGAGCTATTAAAGAACAGAACTACCAAAATTTAGCAAAACGTGCCCTCAAAACCAAATAATGAGATATACAGATCGATACACATACATATATATATATAAAATTAAGA